ATAAAAAATATATCAAATGTGATTCTTTAATCATGTTTTATACTTTGTTTGAGGAATTTATTTAATAATTTTAAAATTTATAAATATTAATTACTCTCGCTGAACTATAATTTTTTACATTGTTTAAGGTTCTTGGACATCACTTAAGAAAAGTTTAATAAATGGTATGTTAAATCTAAAATACCTTTATTTAATATCTTAAAATATGTAGAGTAAGAATAATTATGGTTATCAAGTAGGAATATTAATTGTCAAATAAGGATATACATGAAAAAAAGAGTAATAAATATCACTTAGAATGTGTAAAACATAAGTTTGGAACCTCTCCATTTCTTATCCATTTATATATTTTTAGGTGTATAAATGATATTAAATGTTATTCAAAAAAAGTAATTAACATTTAATATCATTTATACACTCCAAACTATAAAAATAGACAAAAAAAAAAAACAATGGAGAGAAAGAAATGGACAAAATCTCCATTTGTAAAATATCAAAAGTTTTGGATCAAAAGGAAAAGTCTAAAATGCCAAAAAATTATGGTTGGAAAGGAGTATTTAATAATTTTAAAAATCACTACAATATATTTGTTTATAATTGTGTTAGGAGAAACATATTTGTTTTATATATTGTTTATAAGTTTTAATTATTTAAAGAGAAGGAAAGTATAATTGTAGTTTATTTGATTACTTAATGGGTTAAACGTGGGTTAAGGGGTTTACGAGGGGTTACACCAATTTATGTTTTTATATGCTTCTCATTTTTTTTTTCATTTTATGTTTTAGTGCTCTGAAGAACTAGGATAACTAGATATCATTAGAGATTACCTTGGAGATACATGCCTTGCATCTAGTGTTCACCAAAGTAAAGGGAAATGAGTAGTCTCGTCCTAGGCGTAAAATATATGTTGGGTAGTGAGATTAACCTCCAATCTTTTCTTTGTCATGTATGTTGTATAAGGGAGCAATCCCAAATTCTAATTTTAACTTGTGTTTTTGTATTTTACGTTATTCTCTGATATTCTAATTGATGTTGTTGATTTGTATGTGTGTTTAATTGTATGTAATTACTGATCTTATGAATCTTGGATTGTCCATAAGTTCTTGTGGTAATTGTAAGGAATGATCATATTAGGTTAATATGAGATAATTGAGATGAGTATGTGAGATTATGTAAATTGATGACTTAATTATATAGTAAAAGACTTTAATTTGACATTTTATCTATTGGTTTTGGATTTTTAAGGTGTTAAAAAATGTGTAAGGAAGGTTAGAAACCTATGAATAGTTTAATATCGGATTTTGGACTGTCGTAGTTTGCTCAAGTGAACTTAAACTTGCTCAAAGCGAATTTAGGCTCACTCAAGTGACCTTAGGCTCAGTCAAACTAGTCCATGACAGAGTTTTGGGTAATAGCTCGCTTAAGCGAATTTTAGCTGACTCTCGCTTAAGTGAATAAATGATTGAATTTGCTTTTGTGGTCTTCGTGAAAGAGTTTGACCTAGATGTTATCTTTCGATCTCCATTGGAGTGACCCAAAAAGGAGGTTTAGAGCACAAGTTATGATCCAAATAATGAGTAAAGGTCAAGCTGTTAGGTTCAAGTTAAAATGTGATTTTGTAATTTTTAAAAATAGTAAACAACAAAATCAACTCTTGAGGTTAACATAAAAGTTGTGGATAATTTTCTTAACTTTCTAAAACAATTAAAATCAACTTAATAGCATGTATATAGCTCTAGATATTGTTTTTGGAATACATGAGGTCATAAAAGATTAAGTTACGAAAATGTAGTTTGTGAAAGATGAAGATGATAAATGGCTTTACCCTTTAAGTGTTTGATCTTATGAATGACTTGAGGTAACTACATCAATTTTTAGGAAAGTGAAATTATGATAGAGAACAATTGTGAATAAGTTATGATGTGAATTGATTGTTAACAACTTGAAGTATTTTGGTAATAACGATACTGATGAAATTGATGTGTAATATCAATAATGTTGTCAAACTAGTTAAATTATTAATTTAAATGCTTTATTTGTTATTGATATCTTAGTGACTATGGTTGAGGTATTAATATATGATTAGATGATTTCATAATAATTCTATCTTGAGATTTATCGAATGATGTGTAATTGTTGAGTTGAATTGCAAACATGTGACTCTTGTGAGAAACCATGTGTGTGTGCTTGTGTGTAGACCATGTGATGGTCACATGATGTGAAGTCTAAGTTGAGATGTAGAAAGGTTAAATTTAGGGCATGTTGGCCTAGTAGTGATGTTAGTAATGCATGTAATGTGTACTTGTGATATTGTGATAATATGATAATCACGTCGAGTCTTGTGTGACATGTATCATGTGCATAAGTGTTTTGATGGATACAATACAAAATATGTTGTCAAGGAAGGTCCCCCTTGTGCAAAATCTTAGAGATTCATGATCTTGAGGATAACCAGGTTTCAAAGCCTCAATTTCGTTGTTTGTGTGCATTGGGTGTAACTTGCACGACATTGCTATCCTCATGCACCATGGTGTATCTCCTCCTAATGTAGAATGCAATGAGGGTGTAACCTAACATGTTTTCCTAGGCTACTCTTTGTATGCCTTAGGGCAATGCATCACGATGTAATTTTATTGATGCTACATGCACGTGCATATTATAATTTGTGTCCATTGCATTATATGTGTTCATGTGTAAAAATGTGTTGAACCATGTTATAAAATCGTGATTGTTTATGCTATATTATAGTGAATTGTTATGCCTTATTCTATGTGTTTGGTTATCCGACTATGTTCTACACCATGAGCCAAATTGAGATGTTTCTCACTTTCCTTTCCTGATTGTACCCTTGTGTATGTTATTGTAGGTGAGGATCATCATGAAGTTGATGATATTGGAGATGAAGCCTAGACCTTGTAATAGGTTTTTTTCTCTAATAGGATGCGACATCGAGACAATAATTAGGATATGAATTTTTGTTCTTTACTCATGTTAGGATTTGATGTTAGTTTCAATTAATGTTATTTTATTCAATACTTATATTGGAACACTATTTTGTTCTAGTTTGTAATGTAATGACCCTCTTGAGGACTAAATTTTAATAAAAAAAATTTACTCTTTTAGAAATTTTGTTTTCAATTTTAAATTATATGTTTATAATATGCGGGGTAGATGGTGTTACAAATACAACCTTTATAAATTTTTTTTTTTTTTTGTTCGTCCCTGGAGTATCCACCGCCGACAGCAGTGACTAATCTCCTCGCTACATTGGAGACACCTCAAAAGGTGGGATAGCTGGGCCCAAGATTTACTTATTCAAATTCAATATTAAGGAAATATAACAATTTATGTATACTACTTAATCAATTCAATCATTTTATTATAATTGGTCAGCAATTAAATGAATTTAAATACCTCGAGATTAATATAGAGTTTTCAAATAAAAATAAATTAGTTTATAAATAAAAAAATAGAAGTCAAAATAATACATGACAATTACATAAAATTCGATCGGTGAAATGCTTGAAAAATATGAATAACTTTTTTGTTTTAACTTTTTTTCCCGATATTATACAAAATAGTAAACATAATAATGAATTTAATATCTTATGTTTTAATATTTTTTGTTGGTATTGTAAATAATAAAAGCTTGTTTTTAATTAACATAAAAAATGAAATTAAATATAATTAATTTGATTCTTAAAATTATAGAAATATCAAATATGATTCTTTATTCATGTTTTTTATATTTAGTTTGAAGAATTTATTTATAATTAAAAAAATTAAAAAATATTCGTTATTGATAATTTTAAAAATAAATACAACATTCATAATTGAAAAGACTAATTTACTTCAACACATTTATTTATTTCTTTTTTTTATTTGATCTCAATATCAAATAGTTAAAATAACTTACTATCCTATTCAACCAATTCATTCATTCATTTTTGAATAATTGGCCAATAGTTAAATGAATCTCAATACATCAAGAGATAGTCCATAGTTTTCGATTTGAAATACATTAGTTCATAAATAAAAAATGCAAGTCATAATTATGCATTGACCACCACTTAAGATTCACCCGATGAAATGTTTGAATAACAAGAGTAACATTTTATATTTTATATTTTTTTGTCGTTATTGTACAAAATAGTGAATGTAATAATGAACTTAATATCTTTTTTTTTGGCATAATACAAAATAAAAACATATTTTTAACATAAAAAAATTGAAATTAAATATCAATTAACTTAATTCTTAAAATTATAAAATATCAAATATGATTCTTAATTTCATGTTTTATAATTTTTTTAAGAAATTTCGTTTTGCAATTTAAAAATTAAAAATATCCATCATTTAATCAATTTAAAATTCAATGAACATTTACAATTTCAAAAGCTAATTTACTTTAACACATTTATTAATCTTTTTTATTCACACTCAATACCAGGCATTTACAACTTCCAACTACTCATACTGCTATACCAATTTATTCCTTCATTTCAGAACAATTGATCAATTGTTAAATAAATCTCAATACCTCAAAATAATTAATCAACTACTAAATGAATCTTAATACATCGAGAAATTAGTCCTTAGTTTTCAAATGGAGATACATTTGTTTATAAATAAAAATAATAAAAAATAGAAGTCATAATTATGCACTGACCAATGCATTCACTAGGTGAAGTATTTGAATCTTAACAATTTTTGTGGGTATTTACAAACTTTTCACATAAAAAAATACTTAAACTAACTACAAGTAAACTTAATTCTTAAAATTATAAAATATGATTCTTTGTTGATTATTTATAATTTCAAAAATAAAAAGCACCCATTTTTTAATAATTTTAAGAATCAATACAACAACACTTAGGTTTTCAAAAACCAACTTACTCCAACACATATTTATTCACTTGAGAATAACAAAACAGCCCGTAATTAAAGAAAAAGAAAGGGGGTAATGATATAATAGAGAAACAATGACAAAAAAAATAGAAAGAGAAAGAAGAAGAAGAAGAAGAAGAAGAAGAAGATAGAAGAGAGAGAGAGAGAGAGAGAGAGCTAAGGTGTCTCGTGAAGCAGCAGGTGAAGAAGCTCAAGCAAAAGAAAGAAGAAAATAAATAATAAAAATAAAAGCTCACATCTTTTCTGCTCTCTCTTTCTTTCTTTCTCTGCATAGCTTTCATCACTCTCTCTCTCTCTCAAACATCACTCACATTCATTCCTCGCTTTCACGAGATCCCCATCACTCTGCCATTGCCGCTGCAAAGAGAGAAAAATAAAGAAAGACACAGTTTTTAAGATACCCTTCTTCTTCTTTCGGCCACTGAGCGAGTGCGTGAGGTACAAGAACAAGAACAAGAACAACAAAAATGTCGCATTCCGGGAACCCCATCTCCGAGTTAGGGCTCAGCGACCGCTTCCGCGACTCACTGAGTTGCTCCGACGACACCAACAAGCCCGATTTCCGAGAACTCGATTTGGGTTCGCCGGTTTCCACATTGCGCCATCGCCACAGCACCGCCGCCACGAGCAGCAGCAGCAGCAGCAGCGGCTCAATCGGGTCGGGTCCGGGTCGAAACGGGAACGCCGCGGTTTCCAAGAGATCCCATTCCGGCGAGTTGTCAAACTCCGGCGAGATCAGCAGTCCGAAACCGGGTCACCGGCGATCCAATTCGGGTCAGAGTTTGAGTCAGAGATCTCCGTCGTCGTCCTCCGCAGCCGTGAATTCGCCGCCGCTGAACGTTCTCCCGGCGGGGAACATTTGCCCCTCCGGGAGGGTCCTCAAGGCGGCGACGACACCGGCGGCGGTGAGCCGGAGCTCCCGGAGCGATGTCCTCGGCTCCGGCACCGGGAATTACGGCCACGGGAGCATAATGCGCGGCGGAAGAGGCGGCGGAGGTGGAGATTCGGCGAGTGCGAGGATCGCCGGAGACTCGGTGAAGCGCGTGGATCCGGAGGAGGTGAAGAGAATGGGGAATGAGGAGTATAAAAGAGGGCGTTTTTCTGAGGCGTTGTGTCTCTATGATCGGGCAATTGCGATTTCTCCGGGCAATGCTGCTTACCGGAGCAACCGCGCCGCGGCGTTGACCGGCTTGGGACGGTTGCCGGAGGCGGTGAGGGCGTGTCAGGAGGCTGTGGGGTTGGATCCTAATTATGGGAGGGCGCATCAGCGGTTGGCAATGCTCTTTCTAAGGTGAATTTATTGCGTATTCAATGAGGGTTTGCAAGATTGATTTGGAAGTAAGGTTTTAAAAATGGTGATTGATGGGAGAGTGATTGATTTAGGAAAGCAAAAGCAAGTTTGGATTTTGGAAACTATTTTTCTGATGTGAATTTAGTAATTGAGATTAATGGGGAGTTAATTTGAAGTTAATGAATGTTTGTTAGTGGGTTAGTTTTCATGATGTTGGATTAGATGCCTTTTTTGTTGTTGTGTATTTTGGATTTGTTGCTTTACATTGTATGTGGTGTGTTATATTGATGTGAGAGTTGTGGGGTGAATGAAATCTGAAATGTGACAGGTTAGGACTCGTTGAGGATGCCAGGAAGCACCTTTGTTATCCTGGGCTGCAGCCGGGTCCTTTGGAGATGCAGAAGTTGCAGATTGTGGAAAAGCATATTGGCAAATGCGCGGATGTACGGAGGATTCGAGATTGGAAAAGTGTTCTGAGGGAAGTTGATGCTGCTGTTGTTGCTGGAGCAGACTCTTGTTTTCAGGTACTATTTGATCATATGAATGTGAGTTGAACATGAACATGTTATTGAGGTGTGAAAAGTGTGAAAAGTGTCTGAACTGGTTGGAAATTGAATTTACAGCTCTTTATGTGTAGAGCAGAAGCCCTTCTCAAGCTACACCAGATGGATGATGCCGAATCGAGTCTCTCAGGGATTCCCAAATGTGAGCGGCATCTTGGTTCGTTATCGCAGGCAAGATTTTTCGGGATGATTTCTGAGGCTTATTGCTATTTTGTTAGAGCTCAGATTGAGATGGCTTTTGGAAGGTGAGTTCAGAAATTCTAAGCTTCATCAGAAATCTATGCTGGCAAAGGTATGTGTTGGAGAGTGAGAATGGATGGTGGGTGTGTTGCAGGTTTGAGAATGCAGTCACAGCTGCTGAGAAAGCTAGTCAGATTGATCCCCGAAACGTTGAAGTTGCTGTCTTGCTCAACAATGTGAGGATGGTGGCTAGAGCGCGATTGCGTGGTAATGATCTTTTCAAATCAGAAAGGTTCACGGAGGCTTGCTCGGCTTATGGGGAAGGTTTGAGGCTTGACCCTTCAAACTCTGTTCTCTATTGCAATAGAGCAGCATGTTGGTTTAAGCTTGGGCAATGGGAAAGATCAATTGAAGACTGCAATCAAGCTTTATGCATCCATCCAAATTACACAAAAGCAATTCTTCGAAGGGCTGCCTCAAATAGCAAGGTAAATTGACTTTCATTTTGATACAATTCATTGAGCGCGTTTAAATACAAATTATAATTTCTTTTGAGGACTTCTTTATTGGAAAAAGCTCTTTACTTTCATCGGGGAAGCTCTGAAAAACACTTTTAAGCTTGTATCCAAATAAGTTCAATGTCATACTCAAAGGTAAATGGAATCATCCCTTGCCTTATTATGCAGCTAGAAAGGTGGGAAGAAGCAGTAAAGGATTATGAGCACTTGCGACGAGAACTACCAGATGACAATGAAGTTGCCGAAGCTCTGTTTCATGTGCAAGTAGCATTGAAGAAATCTCGTGGGGAAGAAGTACATAATTTAAAGTTTGGTGGTGATGTGGAGGACATATCGAGTCTTGAGCAATTTAGAGCTGCAATATCCTTACCAGGTAATCAAAATGGATAAGGAAAAACTTATGCAACTCATTTTACAGCTTCGTTATTTTGCAAATCTCCTGATATTATCTCTAACTTTACAGGTGTTTCTGTTGTCCATTTTAAAACTGCATCCAACTTGCAATGTAAACAAATATCGCCATTCGTGGATACGCTATGTAGTCGCTATCCATCTATTAGCTTCCACAATGTAAGCTTCCTTTACACACTCTGTTTGGATACAAGCTTATAATAGTTTTTGAGAGCTTATATGCTATAAATAAAAAACTTTTTCCTGTATAAAAGCTTCAAAAAAACTCTTTTAAGTTTGTATCTAAACAGATTGATTGTATTTTTTAACTTGCTTTCATGATATTTGGCAATTTAGAGATAAAAGAAAGCATTGTGGCAGTTTTTTCTTATGCATTCAATTTTGTGTTTGATCAAAGGTGGATATTCAAGCAAGCCCCGCAGTCGCCACTGCTGAGAATGTTAGGATTGTACCAACCTTCAAGATCTACAAAAATGGCAGTCGAATGAAGGAAATTGTATGTCCTAGTCATGATATGTTGGAACACTCCATTAGGCATTACAGCTTGTAGAACTCCTGACCTTGTACTGCTTCTGATGTATACTGCATTTCTACCGTGCCACCCGAACAAGCCGCAAAACTCTCCACAGTTCATCCAGTCTTATGATTCCCCTCATAGAATGGTCTCTTGATACCTGTGACATATTCAGAAAGCACATAATAATCTTGTTAGCAGCCAGTGCCAGTGGAACCAGGACATAATCTAGTTCCTTTTGCAGTTGTTATTTATTCATTCATTCCTAATTGCTTTCTGGTTCCATGTTCCGCCAACTTTCCCTTTGTCAATTTTCTTTTCTCATATCCTTTTCAGTTCATGTAGACCAGCTGTTCTTGTTTCCCCCCAGTTTCATTATGGGTGAAAAAAAGAGTAGAATTTTATGTCTGTATAATTGATTATATTATCAGTTTACATTTACATTTAAGATATATAGTTAGACAGAAGGGAGAGGAGGTTGATGCTGCTAGAGGAGGGTTCATGTACATGTATATATGTGTTGATTATATACACCAAACAATGGAAAGCCTTAGAGGGAGATAGGATGAGTGGTGGGTACCTAATGGGTTGGTGAAATGAGGATGAATATGTTGTTATTGTTATTATTTTCTGTCTTAGCCATTTAATCAATAAAATTTCCCATTTTTTTTTCCTGCCGTTCCCATATTATCATAACTTTACTGTTTTCTGTGCACTCTTTCTTTTGGATAATCATGTTATGGATATGGATTAATCACCCGTTTTATTGATAACTAATCTTTATTAGAGAATTTGACTAGTTATTTTTAGTGAGATTTCTCTTTTCAACTACGAATTTTTAACTTGACTTGAATTCAATTCCAGATCTTGCGTAAGGAAATCGAGTCTAATGTCATTTAGATTAAGATTTGTTAATTATTTCTTTGTCATTTGAATCAATTAATGTACAATGATATAGAGCCATGAGAATGAATTGTCATTTATTCAATTGGGCAGGGTAGGAAAAGATGACTTGGTCTTGGGATTGGGAAGCAGGTGGTTATGGCATTTAAGTTCATAGCTGGACTTTTAATGTTAAGTTTGACACTAAAGGGCAAAGTACATGTGTGTTTTAAGTGAAGGTTGGTTTTGTTTTAGAGTGGAGTGCACTTGGGTGGTTGATGCAATTCAGAACTCTTAGCTTTTATCACATCCCTCTATGATGAAAGGTGGACCACCAAATCATGTTTAACTTATAAATCTTGTTGATAAAATATATAATAAGATGAGAAACATGGGAAGCACAAGAATAAAAGTAATGTGAGAGAGAAAGGGCTTTGGCAGAAGGGGGGGTTATGTTCACGTGGGCATTTAAGATTCTGCCCTCAAATGGAGCACTCAACATTACCAAAAGACAGCAAAATTTCGTTTGATGTGCTGCTCTGTATGTTACCTGTAGTCTAGGAGGAAATGACAACTCCACCCCACGTTGGTGACCCTTAATAAGGGAGTCATCTTCAATTTTCCCACAAACTTAAAACTATGCATCAAGTTTTGCTTGGCCCCAATTAAATTATTGTTAAAATACATTTCTTTTGTTATTTAATCTTATTATTTTTATTCACTAGTTTGGTTTTTATAGTTTCATGGATTTTAACTTTTAATCTCTACACTAAAATGGTACGCTTGTAATTATAAAGGTTAGAAGATGAAGTTAATGAATATATAGGGATTAAGACGGTACTTTAACATTTTTTCCTTATAGATTAGATTATTAAGATTAAAATGTTTTTTTTTACCTCTTAAAGTATCTTTATTGGATTTTGTTAGTTGTTCCGTTGACTTTCTGTATTTATTAATTTTTATTGATATGAAAACGTTCACCTAATATAATATTTATCACAATTTATCATGTCATCAACTTGATTAAGTTAGTATAGTAAACGGATGAAAATATTAATTTATTCTAACAAATATACTTAAAAAATACTAAAATAGATTATTTTTTTTTAAATATTGGTACTTGAACTCTAAAGAAAATTACCATCAAGATCAAAAATATATTTTAGCTATAAATAATCAAAATTAAATATAATCCCATGATTATTAAAAAGTACAAAGAGACTTTAATTTTATGTTAAATGAATTCACACACTATATTCATATATGAAATAGTGTACAAGTTCATGGTAGGAGTTTATGCGTCAAATTTGATCATGAAAATTATTTGAAGTAAGCATCATGACGTTTCAATAAGTTGTCATAAGTTGAAATACTAATTCAAAAAGTTGTTGTAAGTTTAAATATGCTCTGTAGAAGTCAATTCAAAGATGATTTCATCTAAAGAATTGCAAGAGAGAAACTGGGTAGAGAAAAGACAAAATTACCATAGCTACATGTTTTAGAAAAAGTTTCAATGTTTGAAACGCAGAACTAATAACTTTTAGGAAGAATTCACTTTTTCTGAAGTGATGAGATGTATTTTTAAAGATAAAGTGTATTTATAATTGATTAATTATAAAAATTTATGATAAAATTAAATTATTATAAAATAAAATTTAAAATTAATTATAATATTATCAGTTAATTTTTTAATTAATGATTATTCTCTTTTACTTTTTAAAGTATAATTCTTTTACTCCTGAGAAGTTTAAGACAGATTATTAAACAACATTGTGGGAAACAAACATCAGCCATTGGAAAGAGTGAAAAGAAT